AGCAACTGGGAAAGACCCACAAAACCAGAGAACAATAGAAAACCTGAGGTTTTCTGCTGTGGTTAATTTCCAAGACAGGGAACTGAGAGATCTGAATAATATTCTTGGCAATGCCACAGGCTGCCTGCATGACTTAGGCCTAGCTGGAGGTTAACCTCTCGGTGCCTCAGTTTCCTCACATAATTGTTGAGACATTCTTTTTTCATTCCCTGAGGAGGACTGGAATACTGAACTGACTTTCTTCAGTTTAATGATGTGATATCTTAATGCTTTACAATCATTCAGCAGATGGGAAAAATCAAACTTCCCAATTTTGAAGCTATCATTTGCATAATGGGAAGAAAGCAAGGAGAAATTTACTGGAATAATCCGGAAGCTGGAGTTTTGTTGGGCTCTGTCCCCAAAAGCACATAGTCACTGTGTGTCAGCACTGAAATGTCATGTAAACAGTGCTTTGTAACTCTTGTAAATCGTTTCCTGACTTTGTTAAAGGAAGTGGGCTGTCTGCTTAAAGCTCTTGTCTGGGTCATGGTGACTAAACCTTACAGCAGCATGCCTTTCCAAAGGCTTGGTTTTGTTTTAAATCAGGAACATTCCCATAAACTTAAACAAATAACAGGGGTATAGGAGCACAATGTATGTCCTTTGATCCATGGAAGTGCAGAGATGTGCCTCCTGTAGTCACAGCCCAGTTCACCTGTATGCTAATTCACTAATGCTGACAGGAGATAGGGGCCTACTTCTGTTGTGTAATGCTGTAAACATTAGTCATACATGCTTGTATTAAGTGCTGGGAAATTAACTGCTGGGAATTGTGAGAATTTGCATCACATTAAGCTGTAAGAATCCTGGCTTCAAATTCTAGAGATCCCCTGGGTCAAATTCTTGTTGCCAATTGCAGCCCCCCTGACGATCTCAGTCCAGTTCAGGACTCATTAGCTAATTACTAAAAGGAAAACAAAAAACTGTATTAAGGAATCTATTCAAATTAGCCACCAGACATATATATTCTGCAGCCACTCCTGAGACATATAGATGCCCGTACAACTGTTCCCCATGCCATGCATCATTTGCATAAACTTAATTGAACATGTTCACACAGAATGCAATTATTTTGATATACAAAGTTACTCTACATGTGATTAAAAAGTAACTATGTGTCCTGGGAACAGCTAGCAAAACTGCCAGAATACAGACAAAATCAGTCTAATTAAAATGCAAAAATTGGCATTTATCTTTCCTGTTATCCCTGTGGGGGCCATTACACACAATAATGAAAAGATGTCCCTGGAAATAGCATTGCTTTTTAATGAGGCTTTTACCTATTGAGTCATAATCTCTGTTTTATTAATTGGAAGCAAGAATGGCTTCCTAAACTCTAGAACTGCTGAGAATAAGTAACTTCTAAAGCAGAATATTTGCAGTCTGTACTCAGACTTGGGCAGTTCAGCAAGTGCCAAGCTACAGCTCAGTTAAGGATGTGGGTTGACTTTATAAGCCAAGCATGTGAGGATCCAGAAAGAACATTTGCTTATCACAGTGTAAGCTCCTGAGCAGTCCCATGACACATTCTATATCCCTCTAATTGTTCTTACCCTTTGGCTAAGAAAAAAACCTGTAGGACACCCATAGTGATTACTTCTGATTACTCTTTGTCCTCGTGGATGCTACTGTGCTTTCCCTTTTACTCAGGCACTTGTCTTAATTCAGAGTGTGAAGACCCAGGCACTAACCACTGGCACTGAGCTCCAGCTCTGACTTGCTTCCCCTATCCAGTTCTCAGTGGTACTTAGAAAACCCCATGGTGAAATGACTGAACTCTTGTGTTTTAGTAAAAACCTGGCTTTTCCCATCATATGTGTAATTACTTATATCCTCCTGAGCTTTTGACCAGCAAACCTCCCTTGGTTAAAGCAATTTGGCAAATGTGATCCATTATCACAGCTACTGCTGCTTCTACAAGTATTCAGGTCTTTACTATGTGTTTGACATGGGAACTGCTTTATTCCACAACAGAGCGAAACATCTATTTCTGCAAACTGTCACTCAAGGAGCTGCTTAAAACTTGACATTTCTCAGATTATTTTCATGATTAAATGCTAAATCATTGCCAACACAGAGGTGAATGGTTCAGTCTGTCAGTCTGAAGTCTCATAACATGCTGAAAATATGGGGTTCAGGAGGCCAAGGGGGAGCTAACAAAACATTGTTAAAGTTTCAAAATTAAGTAATCTAAAGTAAGGAAATTCCAAGATGAATTGCCCCCTAGCAGCTCCAAGCCTCCCTTCCCTTTCTAAATTCAATTTATCTTTTCCCATCCCTATGCTCCGGGACTTTTCATCTCTGCATTTTATGCTGGTGGCTTTCTCTCAAGTAATGCCTGAATATCAGAAGAGAGCAGGAAAGAAAGAAGCTGACTGTTTTAGGGTCAAAATGCAAACTCTGAGGATTTTCTCAAGTCCACAAAAGAACAACCCATGGTGACATTAAGCTGAGAAGCTATGTCTTTCTTGATCACATCTGTATGCTACAGCTTTTTCTAGAGCCTGGCCATTCTGGGACAGATTTTCATAGCCACCTCTGTTACTTACAAAGGCACTACCTCAAAACCTAGAGACACTAGAGCTTCTCAAAAAAAAAATGCCTGCCAAAGAGTTTTAAATGGACGAACTCATTTATCTTTCTCTAGCCTTTTTCTTGGAAATTGAAGGACTGTTTGGCTAAAATGTAGTCATGCTACATGTTTCCATGTAGCAAAATCCAGCCTGACTCAGATAGCACGGAAACTATCATCACTACTGTCTGAAGTTTAGCAAACCTGTAAATAGCAGTGTTCAGGTCTCAGTATTAGTCAGTGTTAGTTATAGGTGGGACTGTCAAACCATTCTACATGATAAATTGCCACAACTTTCATTTTACAGCTTGAGAGTCTCTGATCTTTGTGGGAGGCAGGTTGGCAGAGGTCTTTACAGATGAATGCAGCACATAGAGCTTCCTCAAGATCATGGAGGTGGTGGATCTGGGATGGCATTCAGGAGGATTGGCCTCAAATCTTCCCTGAACCACAGACTGTCCTTGATTTTGTTTGGCTCAGTATGCTCATTCTATTATTCTTCACTGTTGTCTGTCTTTAACTTCTCTTTCCCTTCTACTCTTTCTGTGGCTTCTTTTCCCACAATATTTCAGCCTTTATCCTTACACATTCCCTGAACATCCAACTCCCTGAGAGTTTGACACAGTTTGGCTGCCTTAAAGGAAAGGAATGGTTTCCATTCCGGGAGGCAATGGACTGGGCACATATTCCCTCCCCGCAGTTACCCTCTTCACCTCAAGCTTCTTGACTTATGGTTGGCCCCAGAGGAAAAAAGGATAGAGGCTAGGTTGCTTTCTTACAGGCTGTGGGAGGATGAACTGAAGGTCTGGGCTAATGTCTGCAGGACTTGTTTATATGTCGCATTCCACGTGGTATAGGAAAGAAACCTTATATATGACTATAACCTCTGGTTAGTGACATTTGGCAGTTAAAAAATTCGATTGCCCCATAGTTATGTTGCCTCAAGAAACTTTTAATTATGAATATCTTCATTTTTCCACCAGTTTTCCCAGGAAGGAGTTCACCATACCCACATCAATCAGATCTGAATTATTGAAGCCCTTCCGCAAATGTGCTTTTCTTGGTTACATTGAATGCGTCTAGGTTGAATGCGAGGTTTTCCAAAGTGACTTCATTTCCTAAGTAGGAAACATGTAAGGGTGTCTGACGTGTGTCTCGGATCCCAGCCAAGGAAGTGATGCTGGGCAGGAGCTGTCTGTGGGCAGCCTGGCAGCAGGGCTGGGCAGGCTGGGATGGCCGGGGCTGCAGCAGGATGGGTGTCTGACACACAGCTCTGTCCTTGCAAAGGGATTGGTTTCTGTCATTTATTTCTCTTCAGGTAAGACCTTCCAAGGGCTTGGACACTTTAAGAAAATTAAAATTGCAAGCAGGAGGGTTAGTCAGTCACTCCACCATGTGCAGCATTGCTGTAGCTGAGATGGAGCCAACAAAGTCCCCATAAACAAATTTGCAGGTAGAGTCAGATGATGTGTCACTACTTCTGCCCATGCAGAAGTAAAGCAGAGCAGAGCCTTCCAAACTAACATCTTTATCTTGGGCAAGGACAGTACATACGCAACTAAAAAGCAGCAATAGTGCTTCTTTTGCCAGGGTCCCAGGGTTAATCCATGCTTCCAAGGCCAGTTGGCGAGTTCTTGATGCCTGCATATCATTGGCATAAGCAATAGTTGGAAGTTTACTGCGTTGTGAGACTGTTTTTCTTCTGTCACATTAGAGTCTTCTTCAGGAAGAGTTTGTGGGAACACTTGCTGGGCATGATGACAGATGACAGTTTCTGAAAGCTTTGGTCTGAGAGGGTTGTGCCTTGTCATCTTTACCTAATGGAAATACACCTAAGTTTTGAAGACCAGGTAGAGGTAGCTGACCTCTCCAAGACACTGCCTGCTATTTCTGCCTTAGAGAAGTTTTGGCAGCCAAGCAGAGCAGGGATTCCCTCTTGCTCTACCCAGGCAGGGCCCAGCAGGATGGAGATCCAGGCTTCCCAGAGCTTTCATCAAACCAGAACTTGCAGCCAGGTTGCCAAACCCAGACTTTCAAAAGTTAAAACATCATAGGATTTGCTTAAAACCAAAAGATGTGTTTCTCAGATGTTTCCTGTGGGGACTGAATTTTTATTCCGATTTCAAGTGGAAACCATATAAATTCTAAAAGAAAAAAACTCACATCAGTGCTAGATTCCAAGAATGGCAGATAAATGGTAGAATTATAAAAATTCTGGAAATAATTTATTTTAATTTCAAAGCCCTCTTAGATATAAAACCAACATTTTTTGATAGAGTGACTCTGACTCATTCATGCATGCTTTTGACTCAGACTAAAAGTCTCGGATTGCAAAGCCTCATGTGTTTGTGTTTCTTTTGTGTTTTTTTTTTTATTACCTTCACAGCTTTTTTTGGGAAATACCTCAATGAATACAATGGCAGCTACATCCCTCCTGGGTGGAGAGAGTGGGTTGGATTAGTGAAGAACTCTCGCTTCTATAATTACACCATTTCTCGCAATGGTAACAAAGAGAAGCATGGATTTGATTATGCAAAGGTATTTTCCAGACCTATAAATGTCACGGCATTAATCCATATAAAAATCGCTTTCAGATAATTAATTAACCGGATAATTAATTAATTAACCATCTGCAGCCAAGAAATTGAGATGTCATTTTTCTCTCCAGGGCATTTTTATTAATTTCTGTGTGAGGATTTTAACTACAGGACGGAAGAAGATTTCCAAAGGCTTTTCAGTGCAGTTGATTCCTCCCTCTCTTTCTCTCTGCTAGAAACCGCTGATTCTGTGGTAGAAGCAAATAGTAAAGAAAGAACTTTTTTTCAAATAACTGCATGTTTTGCACGACTGAACTTTAAAGTTAACTGTGCATTGTCAGCTATTACCCACATCAGAAACCTTAGTTAATGCTGTTTCCCATTATACAGTGTAAAAAAGATACGTTGTGCGTCTGTGGTGTCCGACTCCAGATATGACTAGGAGAATAGATAAGCACAAGAGCACAGCCATTGGAAAACTTGGGACTTGTTTGTGCTCTTGACAAAGTTTGGAAAGTATGCCAAGGTGACCTGCCTGCTGCCATGAAGCGTCTCAAAAAGACTGAGGAGTGCAGGGCGCAGACTTTCCAGCCTGCAGAAAGCAATCTGGAATTTCCTCAGACTGTAGGCTCACGGAAGATGATACAGATGTTGCAGCTGTGGTTTCTGACCCATGTAATGAGATTTTATTGGAAGCTTGCGATGCCTGTTTCTGATTTCCCCACCCGTAGAAATTACATGATACTGATTACATATTTATATAGAGTTAAAAGAAAAAAAAAACGGAAAAGAAAGAGTATTGGTTAGTTAGGCATTCCTTACACACCCTGTGTATGTAGCTAGAATAAACAGGGAAACAGGAGGGGAGAGGATGCTTTGGGAGAGAAGTCATACAGACATTTCATTCGAGCAGGCCACAAAACCAAAAATTATCAGAACCACAGAGCCCTGCTATCATTACCCATTTTGCAAACCAAAGGGTCGCTGGCTGCCGCTTCCATGCCCTTGCAGGGACTGTAACAGTCAGGGCCAGCGCCTTTGCTCCAAGCGTGCCCCAGGAGAGGAGCAGGGGGCAGGGAGCAGGCGAGCAGGGAGGTCACAGCTGGCTGCCTTGTCCGAGCACCGACATGCGACACAGACCTTGTCCCTCGGGCTCTGCTTTTGCAGCTGTTTGGGGCCGTGAATCCACAACATATGATTAGTCATGCCTGGAAGTGCTTGAAATTACAAACATTGTCTCAGCACTTTCTCAATGAAGCTCACACTAGACCTCCAGGCCAACAATGAATGCTCCAAGGTGGCAGGTGGTTTAATTTAAGTTTTCATCTTTTTTTCTTACTTCCATTTCCTCCCTTCCCCTCGTATGCTTCCATTTGCCACCTTGGCTGTGGGTTAAGCCAGTTTATTAGCAAGTCACAACCTTAATCTCAGCAGCTGCACTGCTTAGGTTATACAATTAAAAGAGCACAGCCTGCAGGAATTCAACTGCTCCCTGCATTTGTGTTTGCACTTTCTCTGATAAATGTTTTTGTAGTATGTTGCTTATTTTAGCTTGTGCCAGTTTGTACATACACAAAAGTGTACTCTGAACAAGGAGCATGCAAGAAATTTAGGTGTGAATAGAAAACCAATGAAAGGGTGAATGATTTCTTGCAGTTGGGAGCTACTACTTTGTGAAAGTATTTTGTCTATGAAAGTCAAGAAACATACCTTTGTCTGTATAGTCTGTCATTCTAAAGGATGCTTAGCATTATATTACAAAATCTGTTTGTCATATTGAATGCATTCTATTGTATCTGATTTGCAAAATACAGTCTTATTTTACGTGGTATTGCCTACTTAAGAAAGTAATTACTGCTCAGTCTCCCCTATGCTCTTAGAGTCACACATCTCTTTGATGGGCTGTTTTTACTTCCTGATCTGCTCTTTAATGAGGACTTGAAAATAACATAATAACATGACAGTATGTGATCTAATTGATCATTCACTTTGTAACTTTTGCTTTACATTAATCGTGTGTTACAGGACTACTTCACAGACCTAATCACTAATGAGAGCATTAATTACTTCAGAATGTCCAAGAGGATATATCCTCATAGGCCCATAATGATGGTCATCAGCCACGCTGCGCCTCACGGCCCCGAGGATTCGGCCCCGCAGTTCTCAGAGCTGTACCCCAACGCTTCGCAGCATATGTAAGTGACAGTCACAGGCTGCCTGCCTGGGTATGGAGACATTGCATGAACAGAGAATGAAAGTATAGGAAACCTGCAGTAAGCAACAGATGTTTGCTTGTTGCTTTGGCCATGTCTGCGCCTTCTGGGAAGGAGACTGACAGCTCTGACCATTATTAAAACAGAGAGAAGCTCTTTTCCTCCTGGGAAGTTGTGAGAGATTAAAAGGTCAGTATTTGGCTTTGTAAGGGCAGCTTCTTACAATACCCTGAAAATATGTAGACACAGGTCAGGATCTGTTGGAAAGATACTACTTCCTTAGCATTCCTCTAAGATATGCACTTCCTGGGCTCAGACTTACTGAATGCACTGAGAGTAAAAACACACTTTTGTAGTTTTCAAGTGCACCAGATTTGTTTATAGACTAGCTACTGGCAGGTTCCCAAAACAACCTATCAGACTGGATTTTTAAATAACATGTTTAATCTTCCCTTGTGATTATACTATAATAATAATAATAGTAAAAAGCCCTCTTTGCTTTGTTTCCAGAACTAAGGCCAACTCCAGGTAAAAAGCTGAGGCTAATGTTTGATTCCACAACTTGCTTTATATCTTCAATATTCTGGGTCCTTTCTCTCACAGTGAGGTGTTGGAGACGCTTTTCTGTCTACTTTGAGCATGTGGACTGCTCTTCCTATTCGTGATTAAACAAAGTCATTGTGCTCTTTCAACACAGAAATCAAAGAAAATAAATATTTTAGCCAGACCATGCATTGATTTAACCTCTGGAAATGAAGAGGAATCAGCTTCATCCCTTACTTTATACATTGCATTTTGAATGCTGAAGTGGCTCACATGCAAGGATGTTATTTGTTGTTACATTAACTGGTTTAAAATTGCAAGGAGTAGCAGTTACTTCATAAGCTGCATGCATAAATTGGTCACTGTTGAGGCCAAAAAGACATTTTCTGTTCATGGCACATGGTTAAGTATTTGTTAATTTGGGGGATTTTTTGGCCTCCTACTGTCTGCTACTGTCTAGAGATGCCATTTTCCCTGACTTTACTTTCTTAGCTCTACTTTCCTGATCTTACATTCTCAGTATTACCACATTCCTGAGACTAGATTCTGCAGGTAGTGCAAACCAGCCAGTCATGTTTTGGAGTTACTTTGATAATCGGTGTAATTCATACCTGTGTATAGAAGTGATAAGAATGATACTTTAGTTTGTAAATATTTGCTTGAAAGGGCAGCTGGTTCTTTAGTAATCAACCCATAGAATTATTATCAATATGTTATGTTCTAAAGATAAAATAGGACTTAAAAACATGAAAATTGTCATACTGGATTGTATGAAAAATCTTTTTCAGTATCCTGAATTAAGTGCTCCAGCTGTAGGCAGCAGGGAATGCTTCAGAAAAAAAAGAAAAATGAGATTCTTTCTTCCTATTTTTACAGCTTCTGAAAACCATCCATGAGGTGAAGCATCCAGATCACCGCTTCCCATCCTCTTTGTGTCAGTCTGATCTCTCTTTGATCTGTGGTGGCAGCTCTACCATGGTGTGGTGGCCAGTTCTGTGGTGTCACCCCATGATGCAGGGACAAAGCAGTGTCTTTTCAGCTCTTTCAAACCTGGGGCTTGTTCATGCCACTATGTATTCCCTACATCCTATGAGGCATAATGAATATTCACTTCCTCAAATTTAAAAGAGCCCTCCCATGTCTTCTTTCAGTCACCTCTTTTCATAGCAAGAGAGTTATAATCTATTTGTTCTTGTTCTGTTCAACAGATTGTTGGCCATTTCATGGCACAGATTGCCTGCCCTCAGGCAAGCCATCCTCTTTGCTGGGAGACAATCCATCATAAAGAGGAGTTGGATTCAAACTGTTTCCACTTAGCAGTGGGGACCGGGGCTGGAAGAAAAGCACATCATTGTGTCTCACCCAACATCTCCTGAGGTCATGCAGCTCATTTTAGACTCTGTGGTAGCTGTCTTCTGATAAAAGAGTGCTTGTATAAGCCTGCATCAGTTTATCATGCTCTTGGAACTTTCTGCTGCTCGGTGTTTTCAGCCTGCTTTTTTATAGCTTCTCCCAATCTCCAAAAGTTTAGCGACCTCTCCACATTATTACAAGTCACACATCACTTCAAAAGATGAACTAAAGGTCCTAGCTGTGTTTTCTCAGGTTTAGTCTCATCTGAGTACCTGTTTAAATTGCTTTTTATTTGCATGGACTCCTGGAGGCTAGATACGTTGTTCTGCTGGGCTATTTGTGAAACAGCCCAAAATATGAGAATCAGCTGTGCTTCTTGTTACCTTCTGCTGTTGCTGGTTTCTCGGCAGCCTTCTTGCAAAGAATTTCTTTTCTAGCAACCTCAAGAGAGACTTGCCGGTTTGCTTTTTGTTTCTTAGTGCACTGACTGGCAGCGTGTTAGAGTTCAGTCTGCAGCCAAAGAAATGAGACAAATCAAAGGTAAAAGGCTAATTTGGGTGGCTGAAGATACCAAATAATTGTTTTTTCTGCCAAAAACATTAGTAATATGGTCCGACTAAAAGATATAAGAAGTTCACACAGACGTACTCAGTGCTCCCTGTGAAAACAACAGAAGAACAATAAAATCTTTCCTGCCAAGGTTTGTGTAATTTGAACGTTTAACCCTTAGGTTTTCTTCCTTGGTGGTCAAGTACCATTTGCATCTTTTTTTTTTTCTTTTTCCTGACCTTGGGTGACAGCCATCTGACCTTGGATTTTGTTTTTAAAAATGTAGTTGCTATATCATGTTACTGTAACGCCTACCTCCAACAAAGAAGGGAAACCAGGTCAAAAGCTGCTTGCTGGCTTTACAAACTGAGATGGAAGGTTATACCTACAAACCAAGAATTAAGATAGCCTGACAACCACATGTGAGAGGAAGTTTTTCTTAAAAGAACAGTAACTGAAGTAGGCCCTTATATTATTTGACATTTCTTTGCTCATGAAGCGCCTATCATTTGATTGAACTATTGCCTTTATAAATTAAAACCAAACCAAAGAAACAACAAAAAAAAGTTTTGTTGGAAAATGTTTTCCATTTGCACATATGCAGAGGGGAGTGGCTATGGCAGGAAATATTCCAGTTCAGGGAGAGTTCTGCCCTTACTGCTGGCGTCTGTTGGTCTCTTGCCCATGCAGCAACACAGAGAGAAGAAAATCAAGTATGTGCAGCAGAGAATAATGCTATGAACAAAAATAATATTTATGAAAAAAAAAAATCAAAGCAAAAAGGAAAGGAAGACTTACATACCATCATTACCTTATAGTCCTATCTCCTCAGTATAAGCTGCTCACTAGAGTGGTATACAAAGCCTTACAAGGACAAAAAACGTAATGATGTGTGCACTGTTTAAACATTAATTTTAAATGATCCCTGTTAATTCTCATTAGCTCCACTTTAAGATGAAACATAAACTTTATTATAATGGAAGCAACAGGAACTCTCTATTGCTTTTAAGCATCTCTTATCACTCCAAACATCCTGGCTGTACTCACCTTAAAACATTCCTATTTCTGACAGTTAAAAATGTTTCTAAAAGTTTGGCTGCTGGCTGCTGTCTACCATAATGAGTACATTTTCTGAAAACAAACCATACTAACACATATACTCTAACTATACTCAGAAATGATTTAGGTGGAAACAACTGGTACTGGAGAAGGTGTGTGAGATGAAAGCAGTGTCTAGATTTTTTTCTGTGGTAATGAACATCATCTGTTGCGTAGCGAAGTTGCTAGACCTTGGAAATACTGTTGTTAGATGTGATGCTATGACACAGGAGTTGGCTCTCCAGGTGTCCCTGGCTGCTATTATAGGGCAGTCTTGTTTCATCACAAAACTGAGCAGGAAAGCTCTGGCTCAAAGGATGCTCTAATGAAAGCCTGAATTTCTCTGTTACGCTCAGGGCCTCTGGCACTTTAACTTCCCTTTACCTTCTAGGGTGAACCAGTCTTAGGGGAATTGTGAAGCCAACCTAAGCCATTTATAAGCTGTGAAGTAAACAAACATTAGAAGCAGAAGTCTGCAGGAGGCAGATTTACTGAAGAATGTAAAAAATGGAAATCTGAAGCACTGCTTGCAGGCTGGCAGGAGGACTGACAATCATAATTTTATGATTACCAGGAAGTAATCCTATTGGCAGGCTAAAGGTCTTAGAAAAAGCAGCTTGAAATGCTATCTGGGATGAGACTAGAAAGCTTCCCAAGACAATGTGAGAAAAGGCAAATGAAGAAGCTTTCATTGTTCGAATATATGTAGCATGAAAGGTGCTGAACACACAGGCCTGGTCATAGCAGTACATTTGCAGCAGTAAAGTATAAACAGCAATGCTATTGAACTTCCTGATCCCAAAACAATCTTAATTGTGAATTTGGGGTATAAAATGGCCACACATTCAGGTTGCTCTCTTGCTGCCAGGGATGAATCTCAAACATCTGCTAGCCATGACATTTTTTCTTGTGATGTGGACACCCACCAGAGTGGCCTCATACATTTGCAGCAGTAATAAATTTTGACTCATCAGTGTCTATTGTCAGTGATAGCCTTAAGCCTGCTTGGACTGCTGACTTAGAGATAAGTAATCAGAATCATCTCAAACATCACTGGAAGTGTGACTTTAAACATGACTAGAATCATAGAATCATAGAATCATAGGATCATAGAATGGCCTAGGTTGAAAAGGACCACTAGTTTTAACCCCCCTGCTATGTGCAGGGTCACCAAACCAGACCAGGCTGCCCAGAGCCACATCCAGCCTGGCCTGGAATGCCTCCAGGGATGGGGCATCCACAACCTCCTTGGACAACCTGTTCCAGCGTGTCACCACCCTCTGTGTGAAAAACTTCCTCTTAATATCTAACCTAAATCTCCTTTGTCTTAGTTTGAAACCATTCCCCCTTTTCCTATCAGAAGAAACATTGTGATTTAGAGATGCAGAAAGATTCTAGATGTACAATTAACGATACCTCAAAGTGATGCTTCCTAAAAT